CTGAGGAAGTCTCTCGGATGAGAGACGAAACGTTTCTACATTTTTTTGTTGTTTTGCTTTGTTTTGTTTTTTTGAATGTCAAGAGAACCAGATTTAACTTTTTTAGAAGGGACCATAGGTTTTGGTGTGGGCCCCATAGCTGTCACCGAGGCAAGAAGAACAGTATAAACTGATAAGACCAGGGTAACTGCAACTTTTATTGGGACCGCAGGTGACCTAGAGGTCCCAGGTGTGACGACCCCAAGATGGCAGGAGACATGAGAGGCGTCCTTCAGGATGCCCTTGAGACGGGTGATGTGAGGGGCATCTGCCAGGACCCCTCAAGACAGGAGACATGAGGAATGTCCGCCAGGACCTCCTCAGAACAGGAGATGTGAGGAGCGTCCCCCAGGATCCCCTCGGAGCAGGAGATGTGAGGAGTGTCTGCCAGGACCCCCTCAGAGCAGGAGAAGTGAGGAGTGTCCGCCAGGACCTCCTCAGAACAGGAGATGTGAGGAGCGTCCCCCAGGATCCCCTCGGAGCAGGAGATGTGAGGAGTGTCTGCCAAGACCCCCTCGGAACAGAAGACATGAGGGCTCAGATCTTCTGTGGTAGGCTCTTTGAAGATGGAATCTTCTGCTGCAGGGTCAGGAGCTGTCGTGGGACACAAGGTCATGGAGCTTGGATCTTCTGCGGTAGGACCAGAAGCTGACATGGAACTTGGATCTTCTGATGACGCAGCTGATGTAGGATCCCTTGGAGGCGCCGCTGGCGTAGGACCCGCTGGAGGCACAGCTGACATGGGAACCTCTGGAGGAGACGTGGGACCCTCTGTGGACGTAGAGGCATCGGAGTACCTGGGACCCTCTGCAGACGTAGAGGCGTTAGCAGTCCTGGGACCCTCTGTAAACGTAGAGGCGTCGCAGACCTGGGACCCTCTGTAGATGTAGAGGCATCGGCAGACCTGGGACCCTCTGTAGACGTAGACGTCGATACCTCTGTAGAGAACTCTGACGCGGCGGCTGAGACTTCGGCGGCTGAGACTTTAGCGGCTGAGTCTTCGGAGGCAGTGAAGACCTCTGTGGCAGTGAAGACCTTGGCGACAGTGAAGACCTCTGCATGCCGGGACAGGCCAGACAGGTGGCATGGGCAAAACGTGTGGACTGGTCGTGGAGTCGGGATGAGACATAGAAGCGGCGGACGGACCAGGAGCGATGACCTCAGCGGACAGGCCAGGAGCGATGACCTCAGCGGATGGACCAGATGCTATGACCTCAGCAGATGGACCAGGAGCGAGGAACGAGGAGCGAGGAACGAGGAACGAGGAGCGAGGAACGAGGAGCGAGGACCTCAGCGGACGGACCAGGAGCAAGGAGCTCAGCAGGAACGTCAGCGGTAAGGAGCTCAGCAGGGTCTTCTGCGGCCGGATCTTTGGGTGCTGGTGCTGAATCAAGCGCTGGGACAAGAGCCAAGTCAGGCTCTGAAGCAGGGGCTGAGTCAGGTTCTGTCTTCAATATTCTTATCCCCCTAAGGAGCTGCTGATATTCAGGACACTGGATTAGACCAGGATGGGATAACAGAAACTTTTCAGCAAGGGAAAGCACAGTGTCTAAACAGTCTGGGTTATTTTTAGCAGAAAAAATTAGGCTTTGTAGAGTATGACCAAAATAGTCCATGTTCAATAATCCAAGTATACAATCCAACCATTTTCAGCCTGGCCATCTGGACAGTTTTTTTTTTTTTTGCTGAAACATTTCACCTTCCATCCGGTATACCTGGATTGTTGAGCATGGACTATTTTGGTTTTGAATCAGTTTGACATGACTGTCGATGAGGAAGAGAGCCGGCATCGGAGGTGGGGGCGTGCCAAAGACACCATCTTAGCACCAACATAACTGGTTTGTTCCAATTCGGAATAAGCTGTATGGGGGAAGAATCTGTTTTTTGTTGTGTTTCCTTGACTGATGAAGCCTTCCAGATGGAAGGTGAAATGTTTCAGCAAAAAAAAAAAAAAAGAAACTGTCCAGATGACCTGACTGAAAATTGTTGGATTGTATACCTGGATTATTGGGCATGGACTATTTTGGTTTTGAATCAGTTTGACATGACTGTCGATGAGAAAAAGGGCCAGCATCAGAGGAGGGGGTGTGCCAAAGACACCATCTTAACACCAACATAACTGGTTTGCTCCACTTTGGAGTAAGCTGTTTGGGGGAAGAATCAGTTTTGTGTTGTCCAAAAAAGTTCAATCTGGTCCTTTGGACATTCAAAAAAATAAAAATAAAAACAAAGCAAAAAAATATAGAAACATTTCGTATCAATCAGCCCTCTGTGAATAGTAAACTGCCATCAGTGTGCTAATGAGCCATTGTTAGGCTGATGGTCCTTCTTGACCATGTGAGCAGCTGGTTTTGGTTGTCAGCAGCAAACTGGTTGATCCACTCTGAGAAGGTGCTATTTAAGAGACTGAGCAGAAAACA